GACAGCATTTGATTTCTTTAGATAGCTAGAATGTTCCATTATGTTCCAGTATGTTCTTATTGAAGTCGCCTTATCAGTATTTTTGTTTACCAAGTTGAGGAAAAGGTTTTTGGTATTTCCTTAGGCACTTCAGTCTGGGCTCTGACTGTACAGTGTTCTACCCTCTTAGACTCTTTGATCTTGCTTTATCTGTATTTAATTCCTCTGTTTTCCAGAAGGCTGTATGTCTCTCTCTCTTTTTTTGGGGGAGAGGTTTTTGCTATAGGATGTTTGTGCTTGCCAGAATGACAGAGAGAGATAGAAAGTGAGAAATCACCACCCCCAAGGGGATGACCATGCCACAATGCCTTCTCCTCCATTCTCCTCTCGGGATCTTGGGCACACACACACACACACACACACACACGCCCCAGTGTAAGTTTAAGCTACCGGATCCGGGACTCAAAACGCAGTTAACTACATGGGAGTCCAGTGACATAGCCAGTATGCCAACTTCTGGTCCTGATTGTATGTCTTACGTATAAGCTATTCTTTTTCGTTATCATAAGATGATAAGAATTTTGTCACAAAGGTGAGGCATCACACTGGGAGAACATTAGAGCCAAACTCTTAAAAAAGAAAAGTATTACTAGAAGTAGTGTTATTTTCATGTTTACTACTAAATCAAGGAGTAGAAGCCAGAATATAGAACATAGTTGCCATTTTCCTTAAGCTTTAAGTTTCTTGAAGACAAAGTACATAAATATTCATGTTTCTACACTCAAGCCTGTTTTTAAACTGTAAAAGAATTTGAGAAATTAAAAAATTAAGACTTCTTTAAACCTTGTATTTATAGCTAGTCTGCCATTAATATATAAATAGTATAAAATGGTGACAGGTAATACATTGTCTAGTAGTATATAGCTCCACCTCTGGAATCAAATACCAGGATACATTTTCTTTACTTCCCCACTAGACTGCCTTGGGCAAGTTATCCAACCCAAGACTCAGTTTCCTCATCAGTAAAATAATATCACCCTCATAGAATGAATATAAGGATTAATTTATTTAAGTTAGGCGTGTACAACACAACACACTGACACTCTTAAGATATTTCTTTTTTGCACTCTAAGGTATTTCTTTTTATTATTGACATTTTTCCTTAACTGAGAGTTGGATTCTAGCCCTCACTTAACCTTAAGAATTTTATCATATCTTATGATACCTCTGTTATCTATTACTTTGTATTAATGATGCTCTTTTGTGTTTTTTTTTACATACTCTAAAATTCTTGAGGGTAAAGTTTGTGCCTTGTTCATCTTAGTCACACATATTATCGTCACTTAATGGGCTCAATAAATGATGAATTGTTGAGTCATCTGATTTGTGTTTCTCTGAAAAAATTTAGGCATTCAGGAATGTAGGTATTGTGATAGGATTTGGGGGAGGCTAAAGAATTGGGAAAGAAAGTTAATGTGGTAGAGTAGAAAGAACATGGCAACAAATTAATTTTCACTGTGTCATTATCTACCTATGTTTACTAAAGCAAATTGCTCAATTTCATGGGACCTTTGTTAATCTACAAAATAAGCAGTAAGTTTATGCTTTTTTTTCAAATGCTGAGTTCCACAGAAGTGAATTTGGCAATGAAAGCATAAGAGCACAGGAATAGATCTCAAGTTGTGAACTATACATTATGTAATCAGTATAATACACTGACTTTGTGTGTGCGTATGAAAATTTTCTTGCCCCAGGGCACGTGTACTCACTGGCAACAGAGGTAGAGACAGAGAGAGAAAGTGAGAAATCACCTCTAGGGGATGGTCATACTGTAATCCCTTCTCCATGCTCCTCTTGGGATTTGGGGCATGCACACACACATGCCCCAGCGTGATTGTTAAGCCACCCACCGAGTATGGGACTTAACCACAGACAGCCATGTTGCAGTCCAGTGCCTTATAACCACCGTGACAAATACTGGTCCCCCAGGGACAGTTTTTAATGACTTTGCACATACTTTCAAGAGTCCTCGTTGGGTGCTTACTCATCATTGCTGTCTAGGCATTCAGGTTTCAGAATGCGACATGATATTCTCTGACTTTTTACTGCCATCTCCTTGCAATAATTTAAATTTAAATTTATAGTCTATGTATGCTGTATCCCAAATTTGCTAAATCACCATATTTGACATTTTTTAAAAATATAGTTGCTTACACATTGTATAAAGGCTGGGTTTAGTTACATGACAGTAAGCGTTGGTATGTAGCATTATATATATATATATATAATTGCCAGAGAGCATGCATGCTCACCAGAGAGACAGACAAGAGGGAAAGGGAGGGGGCATGGTGGTTAAGGTGTTGGACACTCTCACATGGCCAACAATGGTTTGAGTCCCAGACCTGATGGCTTGCTTTTTCACTTAACTTTACTCACTTTCTCTCATTCTGTCCCTCTTTGGTCAAGTTACAACCAATAAACAAATTTAAAAAGCAAAATAATAAAAAAAATTTAGAGAGAGGGAAAGGGAAAAAGTACCCCCATTGGGGGTGTGGTCATACCACAATACCTTCTCCCTCTTTCTCCTTACTATTGGGATTTTTGGCATACCCAGTATGTTTTTTAAGCCACCAGGGCCCGGATTTAAACCTCAGTCAGCCATATGGGATTCGGCTCCCTTAACCGTTAGGCTGTGGGACCAGCCCAAAAGTTCCTCATTTTAGCATATTTTTTTTTAAAAAAAGAGGTTTTCCCCTTAGGACATGTGCAGGGTGGGAGATGAGGGATGGAGATAGAGACAGTGAGAGGGAAAATGAGAAATCACCCCATAGAGGAAAGACCTTACTACAATCCCTTCTCCATTCTTCTCCTAGGATCTTGGGCACATACACACACAGACCCTGTGCGATTTTGAAGCCACCAGGTCCAGGACTCAAACCACGGTTGACTTTATGAGAGTCCAGCAACATGACCACTATGCCATCTACTCACCTTGTTTTATCATGTTTTCTTTTTTTATTTTAAGAAGTCTTTGCCTTAGGGTGTATACACTTACCAGAGAGAGTGAGAGACAGAGACAGTGAGAGGGAACGTGAGAAATCATACCCCCAGGGAGTATGGCCACACTGCAATCCTCTCTCATTCTAGGATCTTGGGCATGCACACACAGATGCCTTGCATGAGTTTCAAACCACTGTGGTCCGGGACTCGAACAGTAGTTACCTATGTTGGAATCCAGCAACGTAACTGCTAACCCATTTGCTGTTCCCTTTTATGATACCTTTTTTTTTTTTTTAAGAGGTTTTTGCTATAGGGCATGTGTGCTCACCAGAAAGACAGAGTGACAGAAAGGCAGAAAGTGAGAAATCCCCCCCCTGGGGGAATGGCCACGCCGCAATCCCTTCTTCTCCATTCTCCCCTCGGGATCTTGGGCATTCAAGCACACGCGCCCAACGTGAGGTTAAGCCACTGGGTCCAGGACTCGAACCACGGTCCACTACATGGGAGTCCAGTGATATAGCCATTACAATAACTTCTGGTCCTTGTGATACGTTTTAACAGTACTGAATTTTCATCTGATGAGATACATTTTGACATTATTTCACTATTTAATAGCTTCACTAGTTAATTCTTCACTAGTACCTTACTTGCCATAATGTTAGTCTATTTGACGTTGTTTGGTGTTCTATATATATATATTTTTTTTTTTGAGAGGTTTTCGCTATAGGGCACATGCGCTTGCCAGACAGACAGACAGAGACATAGAGACAGAAAGTGAGAAATCACCCCCCAGGGGGTGATTCTCCTCTCGTGATCTTGGGCGCACACGCACACGCGCCTGGCGTGAGTTTTAAGCCACCGGGTCCGGGACGTGAACCGCGGTCGACTATGTGGGAGTCCAGCGACATAGCCATTTCGCTAACTGCTGGTTCCCTATAATTTTTTTAAGAGAGATTTTGCTATAGGGTGCTTGTGCTTGCTGGAGAGACAGAGATAGAGAGACAGAAAGTGAAAAATCACTTTTCCCCCTTGGGGGGTGACCATGCCACAATCCCTTCACCTCTGTTCTCTTCTCAGTATTTTGAGCACACACACACACACCCGGTGTGAGTTTGAAGCTTCTGGGTTCAGGAATCAAACCACAGTCAACTACATTGGAGTCCAGTGATGTAACCACTGTGCTATCTGCTGGTCCCTGGTATTCTATATTAAAAGTATAGATTTTTTTGTTCACTTTAGTTAAGGTGAAAAAAATGGGATAAAAGGAGAGAAATTCTCTTTGATTTTTTTTCTTCCCTTTTTTTTTTTTGAGAGTTTGTTTTGTTCTGTTTTTTTCTATAGGGTGTGTGTGCTCTCCAGAGAGACAGAGAGCAATCACCCCTCAAGGAGAATGGCCACACCACAATCCCTTCTCCTCCAGTCTCCTCTCGGAATCTTGGGCACACACGCACACGCACCTGCAAATTAGTAGAAGGAGTGAAAAACTAAAGTCTGTGTCTTTGTAAGAGAGAAAATCTTTCAGTTTTAAGCTTTAAATGGGATTTTTTGAGTGAACAGAAGAAAAAAATCCTGATACTTACAGGTGGAAAAACTCAGGTATTAAAACAACTTCAGAAAAATCTAACTTGATAAGTAGAGACTTTAAGGTGTGTAAAACTGTGTTCTTTTTTTTTTAACTTACATTTTAAGTCATAATGTCTAGATTAGTATTTGGATTTCCCCAAATATTTAGTACAAGGGACCAGGTTCTGTATGTTTACCTCTTACCCGTCTCTTACAAGAGAAGTATCTAGAGAACATCACAGTAGATTGTTTCCCAGAAGGCAGGTGACCTTAACATCATAAAGTTTCTGTATTTTAACAGTCTAGTAGTATATATCCAGTGAAAGGTTTTCATTAAAACAAGCTTAATGATAATCATTGTTGAAAGCATGTAATTGTAGTAAACAGTACATGTTTATGGTAGTAATGTAGTAAATGTAGTAAACAGTAAATGATTATGGTTTGTTTTCTTTTTGTAGAACACAAAGTAATTATAGTGGGACTGGATAATGCAGGGAAAACCACCATTCTTTATCAGTTGTAAGTATGTGTATTTATTAAACATTATTACTTTGGTTACTGAATATATCACATACTCACTGCAAAAAAATGAGTAATTCAATGAAAAATGTGGGTAAATGATATGAACAGACAGCTCTCTAAGGAAGACATACAGGTGGCCAAAGTGCACATGAAAAAAATGCTCAACATCTCTTTTATGGGAAATGTAGATCAAAACCACAATGGGATACCACTTAACCCCAGCCAGAATGGCTGTGATTAAAAAAATAAAGTATAAGTACTAGCAAGGCTGTGGCAAAAAGGGAACACCTACAGTATTGGTAGGAATGCAAATTGGTGCAACTACTGTATAAAAACAATATGGAGGTTCCTCACAAACCTGCAGATATAATTACCATATGATCCAGTAATTATACTCCTTGGTATTTAACCTGACGGGATAGGAAAGGACTTAGTCAGAAAGAGGCTGGCATTTCCATGTTTTTTTCCAACATTATTTGCAATCACAAAAATATGGAATCAACCTATGTGCCCAAGAACTGGTGTCTATGTTGAAAACTTGTGGCGGTGTACACTGTGGAATACCATTCAGTCATAAAGAACAATGAGACTGATATTTTACTCTAAGTGGTTGAATTTGGAAGACTTACTAGTAAATGAAGTAATCCAGACTTTGAAAGACACACACTATATATCCTTGCTCAATATATGCAGAATGTCTCCACCCCATAGCAGAAGGGAAACTATCTGAAGATATGATTGTAGGGAGGGTAAGTGTAGATACCAGAGTCTGAAAGGGAGGGGTGGGGATAGTAGAGAGTGGGTAGGAAGCAAAGAAGAAACACTTAATAGGCCCAAGAATGTAAAATTCTCTGTCAAAAAGAATGCATATGGCAGGGAACCAGCAGTTAGCGTAATGGCTATGTCGCTGGACTCCCACGTAGTCGACCGCGGTTCGCGTCTCGGACCCGGTGGCTTAAATCTCACGCTGGGCGCGTGTGCGTGCGTGCCCAAGATCCTGAGAGGAGAATGGAGGAGAAGGGATTGTGGCGTGACCATCTCCCCTGGGGGGTGATTTCTCGCTTTCTGTCTCTATGTCTCTGTCTGTCTGGCGAGCGCACGTGCCCTATAGCGAAAAAAAACCTCTCCAAAAAAAAAGAATGCTTATGGCAGTATCCTTGATTTGATTGTCAAAAAGTAAATAAAATGGAAAATAAAGCAAAGCCTGTATAGTAACAAAGTAACAAATAAAAACAAATTGATGAAAAACAAGTTTTTATCCATAATTTTTCATAATATTCATTTCCATAAACTTTTTGAAGTTCTCATACATTTTATTTAATTAATTAATTAAAATAGCTTAACCAATGATTATGGTGATACAAATGGTATAAGCATCAATAGTCTTAACATATTAATAATTCATTTTCATTTAAAATTTTATTTGCCTTATCTTTTGAAGATTGTAGTTTAGGTTAATAAACCTGAACCAATTTTTGTGACTTAGCGGAATCTCATTTTTCTTACCCAGACATTCTTTAAAATTATAGAGAGCCTGGTGTTCAATTTTTGCTAATTTGCAAGTGTTGGTGTCACAGTCACCCAGAAGTATTCTCTTTCAGAATGGATCACTGGTTCTCTTCTGATTACAGAGCATTGTGGTATTGGAATTTGTGGCCTCAGCAATGCAAACTCTCGCCCAAGATAGTCCTTTATATCCAAATCAAGCATGCACTGTATTACATTAAAATACAATAAATGATCTTCCTGTAGGAGTTGTTCTTTGTCTAGATGCTCTTTTGCACAAATTTTTCCTAGTTTCTATTTTTCATGCTCATGATTACCAATATGGGTACAAATAAGCAAAGTTGATTCATCTTAAAAATAAACAAAACTTGCTTCAGATTCTTAAGATTTACAAAAGAGTTTTTACAGTATCTGTCTTTTAACAGCTTAATGAATGAAGTGGTTCATACATCTCCGACCATAGGAAGCAATGTTGAAGAAATAGTTGTGAAGAATACTCATTTTCTTATGTGGGACATTGGTGGTCAAGAGTCACTGCGATCATCCTGGAATACTTATTACTCAAACACAGAGGTATGATAAGATTACTTAAACACATGTTAATAAAAGGAACCAAAGAGTAAATACAGAACATAAATACACTGTACATAAGCTTATGTATAGTTGCCTTTTATTTTTATTTATTTATTAAAAAAAATTTTTTTGAGAGGTTTTTGCTATAGGGTGCATGTACTCGCCAGAAAGACACAAAGACAGAAAGTGAGAAATCACCCCCCAGGGGGTTGGCAATGCCACAATCCCTTCTCGCAGGATCTTGGGCACGCACGCACATCACATGCACCCGGTGTGAGTTTAAGCCACTGGGTCCAGGACTCATACTGCGATTGACTACGTTGGGAGTACAGTGACATAGCCATTACACTAACTGCTGGTCCCTACAGTTGCCTTTTATTAGGATCCATATTTTATAAAAATGTCCATGAATTTCTTTTTTAAGAGGCAAAACTTTTTTCCCCCATAAAATAAAACCTTTTAAAAATTAGAACTGGGGAGAGACCAGCAGTTGGTGTAATGGCTATGTCACTGTCCCGCTTTCACATATTTTAACAGCATAGCTGTTGGTACTTTTTTTCCCTAGAGCTCACAATTAACTCCAGCTGTGAAAAGAACAACTCTCTTTGAGCAACTCTATTGATTCTAACTGATCCATGTGTATTTAAAAGCATTTTTTATTTTTGGAGAGGCTTTTACTATAGGTGCATGCTCTCGTCAGAAAGACACTCAGACAGAAAGCGAGAAACCACACCCCCCTTTCCTCCCCCGAGATAGCCACGCCACAATCCCTTCTCTTCCATTCTCCTCTAGGGATCTTGGGCACGCACACAGAGGTATGATAAGATTACTTAAACACATGTTAATAAAAGGAACCAAAGAGTAAATACAGAACATAAATACACTGTACATAAGCTTATGTATAGTTGCCTTTTATTTTTATTTATTTATTAAAAAAAATTTTTTTGAGAGGTTTTTGCTATAGGGTGCATGTACTCGCCAGAAAGACACAAAGACAGAAAGTGAGAAATCACCCCCCAGGGGGTTGGCAATGCCACAATCCCTTCTCGCAGGATCTTGGGCACGCACGCACATCACATGCACCCGGTGTGAGTTTAAGCCACTGGGTCCAGGACTCATACTGCGATTGACTACGTTGGGAGTACAGTGACATAGCCATTACACTAACTGCTGGTCCCTACAGTTGCCTTTTATTAGGATCCATATTTTATAAAAATGTCCATGAATTTCTTTTTTAAGAGGCAAAACTTTTTTCCCCCATAAAATAAAACCTTTTAAAAATTAGAACTGGGGAGAGACCAGCAGTTGGTGTAATGGCTATGTCACTGTCCCGCTTTCACATATTTTAACAGCATAGCTGTTGGTACTTTTTTTCCCTAGAGCTCACAATTAACTCCAGCTGTGAAAAGAACAACTCTCTTTGAGCAACTCTATTGATTCTAACTGATCCATGTGTATTTAAAAGCATTTTTTATTTTTGGAGAGGCTTTTACTATAGGTGCATGCTCTCGTCAGAAAGACACTCAGACAGAAAGCGAGAAACCACACCCCCCTTTCCTCCCCCGAGATAGCCACGCCACAATCCCTTCTCTTCCATTCTCCTCTAGGGATCTTGGGCACGCACGCACATGTGCCTGGCGTGAGTTGAAGCCACCGGTTCCAGGACGCGGTCGATTACATAGGAGTCCAGTTACATAGCCATTACACCATCTGCTAGTCCCTTTAAAAGCATTTTAAAATAATGTTTTTTGTTGCTGTTTTTTTGTTTTTGTTTTTGTTTTGTTTTTTTTTTTGGAGAGAGGTTTTTGCTATACGGCTCTTCCGCTCACCAGAAAGACAGAGACAGAAAGTGAGAAATCAACCCCTAGGGGGGATGGCCACGCCACAATCTCTTCTCCATTTTCCTCTGGGGATCTTTGGCATGCATACACACGCGCCTGGTGTGAGTTTCAGCCACCAGGTCTGGGACTTAAACCGCAGTCGATTACATGGGAGTTCAGTGACATAGCCATTATGCCAATTGCTGATCCCGAAATAATAGTTTTTTAAATCAGTGAACTTGTAGAACTATTTCTACAAGAATATAAAAATTACTACAAAGAACAAAGTCTTTTATTACAGCACCACAGCATAGCATATATAATATTTGCAATCTTATATTCTATGTGGGAATTTTATCTTAGTGTTTGATAGTTATCAAAGTTGCATTGATAGTTAATGCAAAAGATACTTTCATTAATGTTCACCTTTACCAACACATTTCTCCTGTTCTTCTGTCTCTTTTGCCTTTCTTTAATTTTACCTGCATCCATCTGGCTTAAGCAAGCTAACATTCACACCTAAGTATATACGTTCTATTTAGCATCAGCGGGCACATTTTTTTCTCGAGCTTTTATCATAGATCATCGTTTTATACAAATGCTTTTTTTTAATGAATTTTTTCTTTTTTTTAATAATTATTTAATTTTATTTATTTTAATTTGACCAGCGATAGATACAGAGAGGAAGAGAGAGAGGGAAAGTGAGAAAGCAAGCCACCAGGTCCAGGACTCGAACCATGGTTGGCCATGTGGGAATGTCCAGCACCTTAACCCCCATGGCACCAGCTGGCCCCTTCTTTTTTTTTTTTTTGGAGAGATTTTCGCTATAGTGCGCGTGCGCTCGCCAGACAGACAGAGACGTAGAGACAGAAAGCGAGAAATCACCCCCCAAGGGGATGGTCACGCCGCAATCCCTTCTCCTCCATTCTCCTCTTGGGATCTTGGGCACACATGCACACGTGCCCGGAGTGAGTTTTAAGCCACTGGGTCCGGGACATGAACCGCAGTCAACTACGTGGGAGTCCAGCGACATAGTCATTACACTAACTGCTGGTTCCCAATGTGTTTTTCATTTTATTATAATCTAACTTTTCTTTCTAATAGGCAGGAAACTGTTTCACACATAAATAAGTTAACAATTACAGTTTAAATGACTTATAATAGAGTAGTACTCTGAAGTTTTAGTGAAAGGATATTAAATTACTGTTTATTTGTAAACTTTACTTTTTACCAGAATTTGAAATCATAACTTATTTTTACATAATATTATGTATTTAGACATTACTTTAATAAAAATTGGAAATGTTTATTTGTTGAAGGCAAAAGTTTACACTTGCTTAGTTTTTAATGTGATTCAATATCATGTAACCCCTTTATGATGAAAAAGCAATAGACGTATTATAGTAATGATGAAGCTATGTGAAGAAAGTACTGATATTACTTGAATAATTTTCCAGAAATTACTTTTTTATGTCCTATTCAACCTTCTTTCCTTTTCATTGTCTTCTAGTTCATCATTCTCGTTGTTGATAGCATTGACAGGGAACGACTAGCTATTACAAAAGAAGAATTATACAGAATGTTGGCTCATGAGGTAAATTTTGCAAGCATATCTTTAAAAAGCAATGGCTTAAGGTATCTGTACATTGGTTTTGCTTTTGTCATTGTTAGTTTTTGCTCTAGGGCTTGTGCACTTACCAGAAAGAGAGAAATCAGTCCCCAGGGACAATGGGCACCCTGCACTGCTTTCTCCTCCATTCTCTTGAGACTTGGGACATACATCTGCACGTGCTCAGCATGACTTTCAAGCCATGGGGTCTGGGACTTAAACTGCAGAGTTGGCCATGTGGGATCCAGTACCTTTACGTCCATACCATACCTGCTAGCCACTTTTGCTCTTTTACAAAGACGAATGTGATATGATGGTGTTTATTTCATCATTAACAAAACTTTATATATAAAATTGATTAAAGTCTTAAAATGAGAAATTTCTATTTTATTTTCAAATCTAAAAAACCCATCACATTAACTTGTAGACTACTGTTATTGCAGAGATTTTTTTCAAAGTTAAGGCTGCTTATACATGCCTTAAATGGAATTAAGGAAAAAGAAAGCATAAGCATCTTTTCCTCAAGAGTTTATTATAGGTGGCATTTTTTTTGGGGGGGGGTTTGCTATAGGGTTCATGAATTTGCTAGCCAGAAAGACAGAGAGAGATAAAGACATTGAAGGTAAGAAATCGTCCCCCAGGGGAGATGGCCACGCCACAATCCCTTCTCCTGCATTCTCCTCTAGGGATCTTGGGCACACATGCACATGCACCTGGTGTGAGTTTAAGCCACCAGGTCTGGGACTCGAACTGTGGTTGGCTACATGGGCGTTCAGCAACATAACCATTACACTAATTGCTGGTCCCTGGAATTTCTTCAATGAGTAACTGGAGATAACTAATTCTACATACTGGGTTGTCAGGAAAGTCATGACACATCTTTGCATGGGAAAACATAGAAAAATACATCTTGATTTGCCTGACAATCTAATTTATTTGATACACATAAAAACATTACAATACATTCAGGCAACCAGCATTTAACATGGGATATTACATATCTTATGAGACCTTTCCACTATGATCTCTTTCTCTTTCAATGTAGTATCCACTATCCTGAAAGGGTAGTATCTGCTACCCTGAAAGCAGTGATTACTATTTGTAGGAATACCTTACTATAATTTTTATATAATTTATTTTAATAATTATTTGTATTGAATTTTATTTATTTATTTATTTATTTTAATTTGACCAGAGAGAGAGAGAGAGAAAGTGAGAAAGCAAACTGCCATGTCCGAGACTCTAACCATGGTTGGCCATGTGGGAGTCTAGTGCTCTTAACCACCATGCCACTGCTGGCCCCACCTTTAGTACTTTTTTTTTTGAGAGGTTTTCGCTATAGGGCGCGTACGCTCGCCAGACAGACAGAGAGAGACAGAGAGACAGAAAGCGAGAAATCACCCCCTAGGGGGGATGGTCACGCCGCAATCCCTT